TTCAACATTATATTTATAGCGCTAAAACAGAAAAAAAAACGTAGAGTTTTTTTGTAATTGGCTTCGCAAGAGAACATGTACCATTGGGTCGTTTTCGTGCCTCTGGGCATATATGGGTTAAGGAATAGCCGATTTGAATAGCTCGCGGAAGTCGGGTGAAGGTTGTGGTTCTTTTGGAGAGAAACAGAGGCCCTACTATGCAAATACCAGTGTTTTTCTTCTTCTTTTTTTGTTGGCGATGAATTTGTCTTTTTTTCGTCAGTGCAATATGGGCACACTGTTCTGCCAATGTATGTATGTCACGAGCGCAACTTTTACACAGTTCCGTATTTCTCATCCAACCAGAAATGCTAGTACCTAATACAAATAGTACACCCTAAATATCGAATTCAATTGTTATCAGTACAGCACAGTACAGAACCATAAAAAGGGACTCTAGGGAGAGATAACGGCTAAGCAAAAACTGCAGTCATTTCCTATACAATCAAGCATACACATGAATTAATGAAGCAAAGCGTATTTTAGGATACTAAAAACAATTCATTACAACACCTAAAAGGAAGTTGCGCTAATGTTGTCAGAATCGCGAAACCTAATTATTGCAACTAGTGTGAACTAGGTGTTCAGATGAACTGGCATTAGTCACCATAAGGGTTACTCCGAAAAACGTTACGAAGCTTCGAATGTTGCCATCCCTCTCACGAAAAGCGAGATGTCAGCATGAGCGACGGTGAGAGATAGACCTGAAACTATACAGCGTTTTGGAGTAGCTCTACAGGGGTTATCGCCGCCAATCGCTGAACAGTTAGTCTTTGGGGGCGAATAATGGGCCAGGAGTTGAATATCCTTTGAAATGCTTTTAGTTTGGTCAAAGAGCGAGTCAAAGATACGAGTATTCAGTGTTGACATATCGTAATCTTTTTCAATGGAATTTTCGACAGAATCACGAAACCTAGCATTACAACTAGTGTGAACTAGGTGCTCAGATGAACTGGATGGCATTAGTCACTGGGGTCATCTCCGCCGATCGCTGAACTGCGACGAGTCTGTGACAACAGTCAACATGCGCTAGCGCATATCGCAACAGAAGCGCGTCACGTGCCGGTAATGGGCACAAGTGGCGTGTCCTGTCTGCTACAGTTGGACCTTCGCGAATAATGGGCCAGGAGTTGAATATCCTTTGACATGTTATAAAGCTTAGCCAAAGAGCACACGGCTCCCTTTACGTGTGATGAATGTTTTTATTGTAGTTGGACTCTACATTCAGTGTGATCTTTCTCGTCATGTAATTTTCATTTTCCTTTTGTTATTCCATGGAATCTACAGCAAGAGAATTAGCCAACCAGCGTACAAAACTATTAAAGTTGTACGACAGTTTTAGTAGAGACAACTTTCTTAGGTTTTTGTTCTAGAGAACTAAAACTCCATATACTTAAAACTCTCCATAGAAAATTTCGTACCATTTGAATAAACTTTTCAATAGTAACAATAAAACATATTAATTGCGACAAGGCCGAGGTCAACGGTGGCGTTATTTATACATTTAACTGCTGTCTATACAAGCCTTAATACGCTGAGATTTCAAATACATTAAGAAATATAATACCCGTTATGATAACGAAATAACGATCGTGTAAGAATGTGCGTTAGTATCATTTGTGAGACTTGTAACTGTTTTAGAATAGTTAAAATCAATCACTGAAACGGTTGATATTAATGAAGTATAGACGAAAGCGAAGTTTATATGATGGACCGTGACATTTCTAATTTGAACAACTTCCATATTTCAGTAAATTTCAATACAAACCCAGACAACTTTGGTAAATGACCTCGCATTATTGAGCAGCAGAAATCAGCAGAATACAAGCATGTGACCTTATAAATACCAAAAACAATTGGTCCAGAGGACCATAAGAGTCTGGTCAGTCAGTGTTTACGTTCGAATGTCAGATGACTCAGCGGGGGCTGACAAACTGCCGACAATTAGTGGAAAATGCGAACCTATCCGAATGAAGTCACTTTTATAAATGTTGAACGAGTGACCTTCAGAAGTTTAATGGCGTACGAGACAATACGCACTCAATTCAATCGACGTTACGTGACGCGAAGACAGTGGTAGAGTCGATAAATCAGCTAAAACTTCCAACCGGCCGATCTGGAGATCATTGGGGGAGGAAATTCAAGGGGGGAGACCATGTTCAGCAGTGGATATCCCGTGGCTGAAACTTTCAGAGTCTTAGATGGCATTTGGAAGAGATCAACGGCATATTTCAATCAGGAATTGAGAAGGATTTACATGGAACCATCATGATTAATGGTTTCGAGCATTATTGTAAGCCTCTCGAGAGAATCATTCGTTCGTATTATTCGCGAACAATAAGAAACCTACACTTGGAAGCTTGTAATGATGGCAGTTTAAAAACATGTTGCCTCCGTTTGTTATTGTAATTTCTGACACGGTAGAGACGATAATCGCAGAGATAAGGATATTTACCTGCCCATTTATGTAAGTAGATGACTTTTGCATTATGTCTATAGGCATTAACATGAAATATACGAGGGTTTGGGCTGCTTATGGTTTGTTTTTAATCCCAAATGACAGTTACAGAATACACATCTGCCTGCCTGCACGATAAAATCGAGGTTCACAAATTCTGGAAAACCTAACTAATAATGTTTCTTTAGGTATGTAATTAAATTCTAGAGGAGGCTTGGGTGATACAGTAACCGAAATATCTTCAGGGTGACATTCTAATAGCCTTGATCGAACTCGCATCCACCTGGTAACGACACTTACATATCCGAAGTAGAGAATCTTCCGCGCACCATTTTCACACACAAAATCCTTGGGTTCAGACTAGAAATCACTAAGCCACCGAAGCGTGCAGTATCACAGTCGTCATCTCACTGTTTAATTGTATTCAGATAATTGTTGTTTACTCGCCCCACAATAAATTTTATCAACGTCTTACATAGAGACCGTGCATCAAATCCTAATGCAAACTTGGCAATGTTGCCGTCCAATTACGTCTCATTTCTCTCATAGCATCGGCAGCATTATTAATAGAATCCAGTATCCGCTATCCGAGGCATCGCGGAAACTGGCTCAGCAGAAGGGATCGGCGGTGGAGCACTGTCGGGCGTCCTCAAAGGCACCGAGTGGTAATCGAGTTAGGTGTGAGTTTCGTTCGTTCGCGTGGTTCGTTGTCGCGGCGGAGCCGGGAACTCTGGCGTCTCCCGGCGCGCGGACTGTGCGCGCGCGTCGCGGTCGGCCCGTTTTGGCGCGGGCGTGCTCGCGTCACCGCAGTCGAGAACAAAGTGATAACAAAAACTACAATAATTGACAACACTATGTACCTACGCGTCTCGTCTTTACGTCGGCTCTATCTCACGATGTAGTGCCTGGACGGTCGCCAAAGACGTCGATTGCATTACGTTAGTACTACCGCTTTTGACGAAAAACAAACATCCGCGGCAAGGTCGAAATTTGTGTTGATATAAAATCTCAAAATAAACTGAACGCCGACTGAAGGAGAGCCGTATTGATGAATCAGCTGAAACTTGGACGGTCACCTTCGAGTGAGTTTTATTGAAGTGATGAACTCTACTGAAGGATTGAACAGTATTTCCAGCTTATTATAAACAGAAAAGTAAATGGAATCAACGATCTACACGTGGGACAGCCCACTCCAGGTCGTCTAACCAGTGGCTAGAGTGGAAACGTTAGCATCGCGGCGCAAAGTCAAGGCCCGCTATTCGCAGCCGGCACATGCCAAATGACGGCTATCGACGCCGCGGCATATTGACATTACATCACACATACGCCCTATACTGCTATTATGGCATAACGACTGATGAAAGATGCATTCGAAATAGATTTTAGAGAAAATGAAAACAGAATTTTTACAGAGTTCTCGGAAAATTGGGATTATGAAAGTTCATTATTGAATGACGAAACGACTCTACAATTTATTTCTGTACATAATGAACCAAGCCTATGCTCGACTATCTTAGATGTCTCTAAATAAGACGTATAATGATATATAAAGAAGATTCAGCATAAGTCTGTGTACTTACTACCTAGTCTAAAATTTAAAACGCAATTGGCATAACTAGATTTACAATGACTGGTTAGAGAGAGCGATTACTGGTCACGGTTGTCCGCGACTGCTCGATGATAAATCAGTGAAGATCCAAAGGAAATCATACGATTATAATTTTGCGTGTACGCACGAATCAGTCTTATTAATTAGTCGGCTGTGTGTCATAAAAAATGCTATCGAAATTAAAGTAACAATATTTCCAATTAATAATGTTCAGATAGAGATTTTAAAGAAGGCAGTAACTAAAGCTATATCTTTAAAAGATTAAGAAAAATCTACGGAAATTGAGAGCAATAAACAAAACTTTTACAATGTTTAAATAGAGAAAAAGTTAGGCTCAAATAGATTTGTTTATAAAATTCGACGCCTGTCAAGTCGCGGGCAAAATCCAGTAGTAACTTATGGATTTAATTTTGTTACAGTGAATGCGTTCTGCAATAAGCGGTCACTGAACGTAGCCCGCATCTTTGACCAAGAGGTCTCTATCTATGCATTTTGTATTGATGCGAATTGACCGCGCAGAGATTACCCTGAACGACAATGTTGTTCATACACAATGCGAGCCTACGTTTACTTTGATCTGTATCTCTAGCATGAACTACTTTCGTCTTCGAATCGTTTGCGTATTCGACAAAATTCGATACTCAAACTTTGAATTAAACGATAATGTGACAATTTTGATGCTCAAAATAAGTTTCGTGTAATCATTTCTCATAGCAAGTGACGGTGTATGGGAGCCCGCGCATTAGGCAGCCAAAATGTTCATATACCGGATTGGCTGCATATACAGGGTGTTAAAGGTAAATGTAGTATCAAGCCGATGACACTAGCCTATGTTAAAAAATGATGCCAGGCTGCCTAATGCGCGGGGTACAATTAGAGTAAATTCAAACTCACCTATTCTGTAGGTCGCTCGGCTTGGCCATGGTGAACTCCTTGGCGTGGACATTCAGCTTGTTGGTCGGCGCGGCTCCGGCTGGCGCGGCGTCTGTGCGGACACCTGTGCGTCAACGGCGTGTCAAGAGAAGAGGAGATAGGAAAGAGCAAGATGGAGATGTGGGGCGCTTGGCTGGTGCTTTGAACTAGTTTTATTGGAGTTTATATTGAGTATAGTTAACAGAGAGTTAACGTAGAATTACGCCCGTATTCACAAATCGAACGCACAGCATTGAATAGAGGTCTGTGATTGGTTCGTGTGTCACCCTGTGCGTCCACGCTTTTGAATACGGGCGTTAGATTTGGAACAGACCGAACCGAAACACACGCTTGAAGATCTTTTGTTATAGAGTCCCTGTCAAAGCGTAAGAGTTTCGTGGATGTTTGGCTAGATGCTATGTAAGTTTATGGAAATGTCATTAACATCCCCTGACACCCTAGAATAGATATCCTAGAATGAATGAGTGTATTCTAAATTCATCAACCGTAAACTAATATTCTCCTATCAGTACCGATCTTGATGAATCAGCCTCGACAGATCTGTATTAAGATTTCTACGCTTATGCACGATTTGAACTGGTCGATGTACTTTTAGTTACCACGCCTATTTTCTACCCATAGGGGTATTTTTAAGGTAATGGCTTGCAAGTTAGAAACTATTCTAGTTCAAATTTAAAGTTCCTAATCCGAATTTACCATTTACATCCGATCTGATGTCTGTTCTCATTTATAAAAAAAAAACTGTATCATCTGTCCTCTTCACATATTAATAACTAGAGAATTAATAAAACAATACACGCCAAGTGATGACCGGTGTATATGTACAATAGCACGTCAAGCTAAACACAGTGGTGTCTATCTCTTTGTAATACAGGCTACTTTACAACAAGACTGTATAGTTTGATAAGCTATTGTCTGTACACCTAGTCCGAGGGATGAAAGTAGCGCAAGCGCAGTTGACCGCAGTCACGCGCGGCGCCGCAACCCGATTGCGATGTTCGCGACTCGCTCGGTTTGCTATCGATTTAACACTCATGTTTACCGATATTAGAATATGTTTTTTACAATATTATTGATTCTATGAGCTAGACGATTTGCGGGTTAATTTAAGATGAATCAGACCATGTAGAGTCTATGAATATGTTAGTTGGAAGTTGATAATTTTTATGACTACAAAAAATACTAAAATAGAATGAATTTATGTGTGTAATTTTGCCTTATCTTCACGCAATGTAAAGAGGGTCACGTATAGGGCTACGGTAAATGACGTACTATGTCAATACTTGACTACTTCTTTAGGTACTTACATAAATAATAAAGCTTGTGAAAATTCCTGATGTTCAGTCACTTGAACGCTTTATGAACAACTACTCAAACACTACGAGATTAGCGCTATAAAGCTGACTGATGAGACGAGATACGAGAAGTCTTTGTTTACAAATCATAAACAGACCTGACGCTTCCGTGGTCGGCGTGACGGCGGTCGTCACGCTTGTTACTGCTGCCGGTGATGCCGCCACCGTGGTCACGGCCACTGGGGACGACGGAGCGGGAGTGGCTATCACCACAGGGGCAACCGAAGCCACTGGGGCCGCCGGAACAACTTGAGCAACCTGCGCCGCCTGAGCCACTTGAACCACCGGCGCCACGGCCACAGAAACCGGCACCACCGCTTGCGACGCCGGGGCCACCGCCACGGGCTGCCCTAGCGACTGTTTCACTATACACCGAGACATCCTAACCTAATTCACACGAAATCACGGCAAAACACGCATGACAAACGCAATTCCCCGCAACAAACATTCGACTGTCGGCCCGTTCCAAATATGAAGTTTTGTTTATTTTTAATTTTGGCGCCACTTTTGCGCAGCGACGTTTGCCAGCCAAGTACCGTTGTGCACAGACAATAAAATCGAGTACTCATAATCGTAAAATGTGAATCGATTTGAACAGAAGAAGAGGAAAATAAATAGATCAAATTAACTACGTGCGCTAAACAAAACTGTTATAAAAAATAGTGCTAAAAATCGTGATTGATTTTTTTTTATTATCAATCTAACCTTTTTTTTATCTCAGTAATGTATTGGCGCCAAATCTGGTACTCACCTGGAGGTCTATAAATCTCAAGTGTGGGCTTCCCTTTAGCATTGGTCAAGATCATGCTTCTTCGCTTTCCATTGTTGGGAAACTGAAAAGAAAAATCGTTATCTTTTATCCAGAATTATGGTAATTTGACTCTAGACTCTACCAAAGGTTGGATTGTCATGGTTTATTTTGGTGGCTTATACACTGCCTGCATCATGCGAAATGGAATAACATCATCAACAGATATATTTTAGACTGTGAGTAATAGGTCTAATAACGAAAATATGATCTGAACGCGGAAACAAATGGGAGATTCGGTTTAATACGTAACTCAATTATCCTACAGTCTTCAATATTGATAAATCTGTCCAAGGTAGAGTCTAACTCGCACGCAATGGGTTCCCTGTCAATGTAGAGCCAGATGTTAAAGTCGACTATAGTAGGAGCAAATCTCATACAGTGCTCTGACATAGAAATGAATAAACAGCATCAGAGACTGAATAAAGATAGGAAAAAGTAAGAAACCTTAAAAAGGGAAGCAAAAAAGGCACAAGCATAAAAATACAGTAGCTTTCGTTTGAATTTCGTGAATTGTGTAGTGAAAATATACACATTACACAGACGGGTTTTCTAGTCTAGGTATTTCAAGACGCATTAACATACCATTAGCAAAATGACGTAATGCCTAGTGCTATTCAAGTTGGCTTTGACTGTGTACATACTCGAAAACTACGTGTCATGTAGGCACATGCACGTCGATGCACATAAAGCCCCAAAAGCAAAGTTCTGTTGTATTTTATACATTCTAATAAGAGCTGTGTACATACTCGAAAACTACGTGTCATGTAGGCACATGCACGTCGATGCACATAAAGCCACAAAAGCTAAGTTTTGTTGTTTTATACATTCTAATAAGAGCTACTTTGGAACAAAGATGTATAGTTTGATATTCTAGCGAATGTATAATGATTAGAAAACCGAATAGACAAAAGGAATTTTAAGACTGAACTGAATTGTTAACTTTTGTGTAAGTTTTGAGAACTAGTTAGGTGCTCGTTTATTTACTGTACATAACAGAACATTTTCAGACGAAACTGACAGATAAAAAAGGTCTCCGTGAATAAGCTACCCTGAAAAATTATGTAGAAAGGTGGAAAATTTTGGTAGTTTAAATCGGAGCAACAATACCTACTCTAGGTAGTTAAGGTATTAAGTTGAGATGTGTGTGTTTTAAACCTGACTAGCTGACCCGGCGAACTTTGTTCCGCCTTAATGGCAATAAATGGGTATTTCTCATCGCCACGGTTCTCATCGTCACCTTCGTGGCGAATTTTATTTCTAACTTATTTCAACTTTTTGTAAACAAAAATTGTAGCGCTTGATGTGAAGATTGTATTCTCAGTAAATCAGTCAAATAGTGAGTCTCGTTTGGAAGATTTAACGTTTTGAATTTTTTGATGCCACGAAAGTGATTCTGTACTTTACAGCAATAATTTTTTCAAACTTGACTACTGTAAATGACTCTTAAGTGTTTATAAAACATACATTTTATCTTATTTTCATAGATAAATAGCAATAACATAATATAAATAGGTACCTACTTAACTACAAGATAAAATTTTACCGATTAGGTCACCTACTAAGTTTGACGCAATTGGTTTTAAGGGTGACACTGGTGGCATTCTGAAATGCTAAAGAAGCAAAAAACGGTTTATCAGTACCTCAATAAAAAAGAACTCTAACTGATTATCAGTCCCTCAACAAAAATGTATTTTTTATTTAGGCCAGAGGGCCTCGTATTTTTGTTGTACAACTTTTAACTCACACTTCAGATTAAATTTATCTTACAAATAGATACACAGTCACATATACAGACATACATACAGTCATACAGACAGACAACAAAAATACGAGGCCCTTATTTATTTATTGATGTACTTATCTCTACTTTACCACGTATAATATACTAGCTTTCCGCCCGCGGCTTCGCCCGCGTGGAATTTTGTCTGTCGCAGAAAAACAATATCGCGCGCGTATTTACTCACCGTTTAGACCTANGACACACTGTATATACATAGATATTATTAACTAATTGGTAGCAGTACACAAATACTGATACTATCTATTATTATTTGATTTTACATGTGTGTGTAATACAATGTGTTAATTGATTTCGAAAGGTTATAATTAAATATAAAAGGCAATCAACTACCACAGACAGGTGGTGGGTGTAAGTTGCATTATGAATCCGCCCACACCTGATATGAAAGCTGAAGAGTTTGTTTGTTTACTTGAACGCGCTAATCTCCGGAACTACTGGTCCGATTTGAAAAATTCTTTCAGTGTTAGATAGCCCATTTATCGAGGAAGGCAATAGGCTATACAACATCACGCTACGATCAATAGGAGCAGAGCAATAGTGAAAAATGTTGCGAGAACGGATTTTCATGCGTAAGAAGTCGCGGGCACAGCTAGTGTATCATAACTTGAAACATTTCGCTCTCTAATCACCTGATTGTGGTGCATGTTGTGGTGCGACTGCGGGCGTATGAAGCTGCGCTCGCGCATGATGACGCCAGGCGACGCGAAGTCCTGCATCCTGTAGCTACGCTGCAATTCGTTGCCGTTGCCCACTCCCACTTGCGTCTGCATCTTGCTCAATCACAGATTATATTTTCCAGCAAGAATGGATCCTCACTAACTTTTTGCTCCACAGATTAACACACGCTTTTGTTTTTTTTTTTAAGTGAAACTCTTTGGTAAATTATTGCGCTCTGGCGTTTTTGTTTTCAGTTTTCTCTTAAATTACTGTTCAATAAATAGTTTGATCTAATCAATAGTTATTTTATTCTAACTATAGATTACAAGACCCATTTAACAAAATAAATACACTAGATGAATGACTAGTATTATAGTTACTTTTACACAATGTCACACTCTTTTTTTATTTTTGTTAAATATATTTTTTACTATTTACAAAGTTCAATAAAATTGCTATAAAACGGGCTATACACAAAAATGCGAGTAGTAAACCAAGCTATATAATTATTTAAAAGTTAAAATCACAATGCTTATTGTGACGTCACGTTAGAGATCACTTTTCTCCGATTTATATATGCATATATAAATTAGTTTTTTGGCTCCATCTGCCGTGGCCACAGAGAGATGGAGGTTTTTCGATTTGTTCGTTTAGCGTACGACTAAGTACAGTACAAGAGCAGTGCAGGATTGTATGTGCCTGACAGTCACCGAGCGATCTCTACTATATTTCGAGGGGCCGAAGAGTCTCCAGCTCCAGACTCGAATCGTTTCGTGGGAGAGGCAGTAATCTGGAACAAACAAACGTTTCATTGAAACAAAAATACATACATAGTGCACTTGTTTTACTTTAGCTGATGACACTCCAGAACTTGGGACAGGCCAGCAGTGTAAAAAACTATTTCAAATGTCATAAAATATGATTTTAATATGGATGTTATAGAGATGAAAAAATTTATGTCAACGACATCTTATTGAATGATTATGTGGTTCATAATATTAATTTTCATAATTTTCAACACCTAGGTGTTGTATGTATTATGACCTATTATGTAGTTCAACTGACGACAATGTACCTATGCGATAATGGCAACAAGTCAAAAATACGAAAAAAGTTATTAATGAAAATTCTGCTAAAAGTTGGACAAAGACAAAACACATTTGGCCAAGTGCCAAGACTGTCAGCGCATTGTAAAGCGATAAAATATATTTTTACACAAATACCGCCACTTCCTTTGCCGGGTTTCCTTAATTAGATCTGAGTAAAAATATTTAAAATTTATGTTTCAGTAATCGGCGTTTTGTTATTTTTTAACCCTGTCTGTTGGTTATGAAGTTTGTTTAATTCGTCTCCGGATTTTTTGAAATTTATGTTTACAAGTATCATGCAAGATTCAGAGGGCAAGAAAAAAAATTGAGCCTGCAGCTTAGAGTTTTACATTGATAGCACACGCGAAGAAACAAAAGAAAATTTGCGGATCTTAAAAAACACACCCCTTTATTACAAAGAATGCGCGTTGAATACTGGAATAAATTAATATTTAGCATAGAAAGCTCTGCATCAAAAGCTATGCACACATGACCTTACACAGCTGGAGGTAGATTAAAATTATTCTACTACCCACACACATTTTGCGTAAAGTGTGCTTGTCGAAAGAGGTTGGCGTGATTGGCTACGTTTTGAAACCTGCCAATAATCGCTGATCGCACTATCAGCACTACAATTAAAATTTTTGCGACTTTTTACAGTCATTCTGATTTACAGCGTCAATTAAACAATTAGTAGGTATTTTGTCGATTTCTACTTATGGAGAGAATAATTAAGTTTGTAGCTTAATGTTTAAGGTTTGGTAGAGTCAGTCGTTGATTTTAAATAGCTCTTTATAAATAAAAGGTGATAAGAGTTTTTCAGCATCAACTGATAGTACCTGATAGTGTTGGCACGAATAAATGTAAAATTAAATAATTATACTAATACATGAACCTAAAACGTGACAAATATCTTAAAGTTTGACTCTTTCAAGCAAACTAGGTAGGACATCCTGACTGCATCCCACTTAACATCAGGTGCGATTGTGATCAAATACCTGCCGTTATGCATAAAAAAAATGGATGCAGGCAGTGCAGAACCAATCTTTATGGAAATCTTTGGGAGAGGCGTTTGTCCAGCAGTGGACGTTTTGGCTGAAACTGAACGGTGTGACCATTTGTAAGAACCTGTATTGTAGAAATAACAACTAAAAAGTTCATTATATGGCTCATTCGCACCGCCCAGTAACAAAGCATTACAAAACTGATTGCAATGAAAAAAGGAACTGACCAATTACTATACGCACGGCGCGCGCGCAAGTGTGCGGGATCGATGAACTATAGAACGTAAATAAATAAAATACCGAAATTAGGCGATGTCGAAATATATCTTACTTCATTGGCTTTCTTTTTGTACGAAGAACTGGGAAGTTTTAAATGCTGCTGAAACGTTTTTTTCAGTTTTAGATTAATTTCCTATCCTGTTTGTTCTAGTTGCTGATCTAGCTGATCAGAAGGTATCTAATAGTTTACATAATATTATTAATTTTTATTCATGATGTAATAGATTATACGATGATAAATTGATTTTTATTAACTGGAAAGTTAAATGCTGCTGGAATGTTTCTCTTTACCACATGTTACAAATACTGAAAAATTGTTTTTTATTTATATAAATATAAAAGAATTCGTTGAATCTTTCTATTTAATCGTGACATGTCTTGTTAGCTGTCCTTGAATAAATAAATGTACTGAAAATTGCGGGAAAAGTTTACGAAAAAATTCGAGACAAGTTGCCACAAGTGAAAATTTGAAGCGAAAAGTACGAAAATGGAAAATTCACTGCTAAAATACAGACACACGTGAATTTACCCATGAAAAGAGTACGTTCTTAATATCTTTAAAAATTAATAAGTTTAAATAAAAATTTCATCGCATTTGTCGTGGGTTTTCAGTTACAAAATCATTATTTAATGATTTTTTGTTCTTTATGTATAAAAAATAAGGGTCATTTTCCCACGCTTCACACGATATCCTCGCCGATCTTTTGAACCCAATTTGGTAAGTAATAAAGGTTATTACAGCTCGTTAGTGAATGTGCAACTGCAAGTGACTCACCGCTCTCTCGTTGTGCACCGTCAGTCGTTCGTGTTCTGCACTCGATACTCGTTCACTTTGCTCGAATTATTTTCACTGAAACAAGAAAGTTTGATATAATATGGCGGCAAATCTGAAAGTTTTCTAAAATAGAAAAAAGAATTGTAAAATACTACTGTACTGTTTTGTGGTAAGACACTAACGTTTTAAACCTTTGGTTGGTGTTCTCGAACAATTAACAAAGTGCATTAATCTGCAAACCAAATATCCCGCTTATCTATCGCATCTAGGCTTTCTTATCATTGCAAGGCTAGGCTAATTTAGTCCTTATCGCAGAAAACCCAAATTTAAGATTTTCAAATTCCTAGCGGCGCCAGCGTCTCAGGCGCCGTCCCATCTCTACGCAATGAGGACTATAGTTTTTATACTTAACAGTTGGCACCTCTGGCGATTGACAGGACCTTACTCTACAGTGGCGCCATCTTGATGAGTGCAAATGCGATAGTCCTCCTACCACTTTAGCGCTCACCAGTTGGTGCCACTGTCTTCGCTACTAGCAAGTGACAGGACCTTACTCTACAGTGGCGCTAACTGGTGAGCGCTAAAACGATAGCCCTCATTACAACAAAGTAGCTCCGTCTATTATACGCTTAGATCATTTATACTATGCTACGGATATTGAAGCGATTTTCATCTGTAGATAGACTGATTCAAGGGGAAGGTTTTTAAGTAGGTACCTATAGTAAATTGGTTTTATGTGCTTTACATTTCACCTGAGCGAAGCCGAGGCAATTCGCTAGTATTAAATGATTAATGCCCCTAAAATCTTTCCTCTAAACATGATGTAACTAAATGTACAATTGTAACACTAAAGACACCCACATGAGTTTTGTGACAAAAACACCTGTGCTAATGAAAATTTTCAATACAAAAGAGTCAATCTTTTATGGAAGATTGCAAAACGGTTTACCGGAAAATTATAAGAAAAACAGTGACTAAGTTACCAAAGTCGTTGTAAAGTCGTAGGGGCGTGTAGTTCCGACAATGTAAAATAGAATCTTGAATTTTTCCTGAGGATATCGTACCTACAAGCCAAATATTTGCGAATATTAGATGAGCAATTTGTCTGGTCAGCTTGAGGAGTATAAGCCAAACTGCCTCTGGTAAATTAGAGAGGGCTCATGAAGTGGAGACTAAATGGGTTCTTGCTTGATGATAATAATGATAGACATGATAGTAGTCCCTATAAAGATAAGTTAAAGAAGCATTCGGATTTGTAGGGCCTATGTGGTTTTTGGGTATCAGTAGTCTCTACATCCAATAAGATTTGATATAAAAGAGGTTACGCATGCTTAATCTTTTTCACTTCTAAACGTAAATACCAAATCAAAGTCGATAAAAATCTCATGAGCATCGTGGGCGGAGCATATGACATCAGCAGCGACTCACGCGTGTCTGCGCGCACCGATCCACTATTACAACACGTCACAACTAAACAATTTCCGACTCTATCCTCATCACAAAAGATCGGTATTGCCACGTCCAAGATGACCAACTTACGCGACTGTAGCAGAAGAAGTAACGCATCTGTGGACATATTGAAGTCTGTTCTAGGTCACTAGGCATGGCGGCTTTTGTTATTGTCATTATCGATTTATAGATTTTATCTCGTTATTATTCATGACATAATGATTTTAATTTACTTTCTGTAAAAGTAGGCAGTTCATCATCATCATTTCAACAACAGGACGTCCACTGCTGAACATAGGCCTCCCCCAATGACTTGACCAATTGACAATGACCGGAAAACGCAATCAGTTCATATTTATGATAATAATTCATAATATTCAGTGTTTTCCACTGAAGATACTAGCAAAGATTATTGGGATTCCATTGCTATAAAACGTCAACGCATCACAAATTCTTAAACAAAGAAGGCGAGGTAAAGGTAAACATAAATTAACAAAAGTAAACACTGTTTATTTACATAAAGGTCATTTTAAATGCTGTTTCATTGCGATAAGTGTGACATGCGAACTGTAAGCATGAATGTTGACATTTTTCGCTATAGATGACCCACGCTGAACTGTCCCACCAAACTTAATGACAGGGGGGCGCTACCATCGTTCAAATATATGGTTTCCAACATGGCAGAAAATCAGAACCAGCGATCCGATATTGACGGTGGGGCGCCCCGCTGTCAATTTCATGGATAGGACTGTTCAGTATTTTGGAACTATACTACATCTCATCACCAGACGATGTAGAGACGATGTCGTAGCACATCAAGAAGCTACGAGTATTTTAGGGCAAGTCAGAGCCTAAAATAGGGCTTACTTGTATCAGCTAAAATATCAAAAAATACGTGTACTTTGGCTCTTCAATTATTGCACTTATTTTTTCTTCGGCATCGTTTCATGCCTTTTAAGGAGTTCTTGGTAGTTCTATTTTACTTAAGTTTGAGTGCTGAATTATGTATAGGCCTATTATGCTTGTAACTGTAATTAATGAATACCAAGATCAATCTAGAAATGTGTATTTACCTATAATTCTACCTAATCGTCAGGTAAATCAGTCGGCATGTTAAATATGTTGGAAGGACCAACATGAGTCATCGGACTGCCGCGATGCCGCCACAACCACGACCAACAAAAACCATTGACTCTGGCACCGTTCGCACAAAAAACGAGTTGTTCGGCAAACTCGCAAAAAGGCTCGGATTCGCCAAGTGATCTGTAGTTGCTTATACTCGTATATCAGTTGAAATTACGCTAAATGTTTGGTTATTTGTTTCAGTAGTTATTAGTCTCTATCAAAAATGCTTCAAACTGGCTTTATCAATATCAAAAGATGTAATTTCATTTGCTTCAACTGAAAGAAATAATCTTTCAGGCGTTTTCTTTTCTCTTTCAATCTGTATTAACTGGGATATAACGTTTAAAGGGATCATCTCTATTATACGACAATATCGCAGAGATCTTAACATTTTGATACAACCAAATTAGTTTTTTTTTCTCTTTAAACATTCTAACAAAGGCAACTGCATTTCTTCCGCCACTTCTTCTTATCATCACCACTAGCCAACGTCCTGATGTGGTGGTGATGCAAGCTTTGAAGGGCGCATAATACATATAGTGCCCTGATAAGAGTTTTTAATCCTAATAAGTTTGTGTGTGTAATGTAAAATGTACGATCTTTTGAAGATCAAGAACGCTGATGTAGGTAGCTTAGTCTTCGTAATTGTGAGGGACTTACTTACCCAAGCAAGCAGTAACTATGTATAATAATCCAGAAGGAACTTGGTCGCATAACTATTGGTACGCTTGGTTGATCTCAAAGTTATTAGTTTTGAAAGTTACTTAAGTCCAGGTCCAATAATATTCAAATGGTTACTGTCATGGCCGCCGCACCTTCCGCGGCCCACGCGCCGCCTGCGCAGCCTGTGTTTACCAAGCTATCCTTGTGTCACACTTATGACTTCAGTAGGTGTTAAAGTGTAAGAATAGACCCCGTTGTAATTGTAGAATTCAAGAGAGTACGCTATTAAGGGAGAATGATAAACCATGATCCTTCAGAGCAGATAATTTTTTTTCAGGCTGTTAAAATTTCACGAACTGAAGTAGGAAACAAACCTAATCTTTTCGGGAGGAAAATATCCTGGCTGTTAAAAGCAAAACATTTACGAGTATGTCTTTATTTTGGGGGCCATTCATTCTTCCTCCCACCTCAACTAGAGCTCTATGGTCCGCTTTGGGTCATCCATCTCCATAATTCTAAGGTGACCACTGCCATTGTCAGGGAGGATATTTCTTTCGTCATACATACGAGGGAAAATACAACTAGGCTTAATATGTATCAAAAACGAGAACTGCTTTACATTGTAGAGTTCTAAAACCATAGTATAAAATGAGTATTATAAAACTTTACTACAATAAAGTGAGTAGGTAATCACATTTGTCTTAAAATTTTGAGAAACAAGAGTTTATTATCAAATTATGTGTTAATTAGAGTCTGAATACGCTTAACCGTGACGTTTACGACTATTTCACTTTTAACAAAGTGCGTACGGAACACGTGTGCGAGATTAAGAATTAGTTTACATCCAAAAACATGTCTTCACTTTTCAAACTGTTCATTGTGAAACAAAAGCTTTGTCTGTACTTTAGATTGAGATAATAGTAAGCTTGTAATGCTAGTTTTCACCATCAATCCCTAATTTTTAAGTGACCCCTACGGTAACACTGAACAGTGAACACATAACAGGAATTTTGTTTACATAGGGGTAACTTAAAAATTAGGGATTGATAGTGAAAACGGGCATAAGTCCCTATTTCTTTAGCTTAATAAGAATCTGATGATGATGATAATGTAGAGTTATCCAGGACACGACCAAAACATGCACTGACTGACTTTTGGAACTATTTGGACCTGAATCTGCCGAATCAATTGGTATTTGCCATCATCAAAGTCATCAAATAAATAGATAGGTTAAATAGATTACACATAATTTTCTTAAAATTATGTGATTTTATTTTAATTTGCTTGTTGCATTAATTTTTGCACGAGTTAAGAGTAGATGAAAAGCAAATAATCAAGAAATTACTTAATTGTTACTAATTGGGTCCTAAGTGCCTACTCATAAAAATGTTAAAATGCAGAAAAACTGATACGTAACTTTTATAACACTTGTAGGCTTTTCTAAATGAATAATGTTTACATGAATGCCTATTATAAATCGTTTATTTAATATTTATTTAATGCTGCTACATGAACGATCACGAACACGTGAAACTATTTTTAATTGTTAATAATAATAAATGGAGCCAAGGAAAATAATGCACAAAATTAATTGACATCAATTAATTGTTTTTTTTTCATTATTTAATGATTGATTACACATCCTACTGATACATGCGTACAAGCAGGATTTTAGTGCGAGCGAATAAATAGTTTTTGCAGAAATAAGTTTTTTACGCCTTTAACAACATCGCTCTTGATTTTCTACACTAATATTATAAAGAGGAAAACTTTGTTTGTTTGTTTGGTTGTAATGAATAGGCTCAAAAACTACTGGACCGTTTTTAAAAATTCTTTCATAAAATTGAATTGTTTTAACTCTTTTTTAAATGATGTAGGTACCTATTTACAGAAACATGATTTGTATAATTCTTATGATTAATAAGAAAATAAAACTATGTAATTCTATTGTAACTCAAAACTATAAAATTTTGTAACATAACATACCTATACAGTTAATGTTAATTTTCATCAATAATGCTTATTGCATTTGATTTTATGCGACTTTCCACAGTGATAGATGTTTTATTTTATATCTTTCACAGTTAATATTAATTGCGTAGCCTACTTCAGTTTTAGTTGTTACTTCATTAAATGAAATACGAGTTTATGATGATTTCGAAATGAAGACGAAAGTGAGTGCTTAAAAATTTTAATTGTGTCTTTGAATAGTAAGCGTAAGTCATTGTTTGAAAGTTTAACGACCCTACATTTTTCAAAAAATGATATTTCTTACTGCGAATAGATAATGGCTGATGGCTATCAATTTCAGTCAAAAAATAGCGCGAAATTTAACATAAATTGTTATCTTCTCTCTAAATCCTACTGCAGTTAATAAATTGCCTGAAAAACATGTTAAAAACTATTTCTGTGAAACAAAAAGAAAATTCACAACCAATTTTGAGGTTCACAGCATGTTAGTAACGCAATTTAAATTTCGACACTTTCACAGACAAGCTAGCTTCTAGAATAATACCTAAGCTAGATAATGCAACCCACATTACAGCATTTGCAGCGCTAAAAATGCTCTAATAGCGTTGTTGCTCGGATCTCAATTTCAGGGGTGATTGACCCCACTCAATAGCCGTCCGTCCGTCCACTCGCTGTGGATACCTACCTTTGTTACCTAACACATCGAATAGTCTGCATTGCCGTTATTCAACTGTTATAAGTTATTACTAACATTGACTTGAAAACTACGTGTAACACGACGTTAAGAACAAACGGGCAATTATGCAAAGCGACAGAACATAATCTATGATTCACCGTGCGTTGTACATACATCTGTGGAATGGTTAATTATCATAGTAATTAAATATGGCAGGTAAACAACGCATGCCAAAATAACTCGAGTTCTTTCACGCGTTTGCCATCAAAGAATAATTACAGCTGTAGCTATAATGCATTGGTTGAATTGAAATTGGAAAACTCTACATGTAGAGCTCAGTAGTTCAAGGTATTTCAATTAATTATTATTGGATTGTGTAAATTGTAGAGGCCTCAAGCCAGCGCACGCGGGTATTCGGTTTGTTTTGAAGTCCAAAGTGGGCCAGGCCTGCGGCGAAACATCTACCGAGCATGCTGCGTGTTTTGGATCACCGAACCTATTCCACTCTACTGTGCGTCACCCGACGCAGACGCAGCTACACTTCAGCACAAATTGTCGGTATTTAGGCCATCAGACCGCGGACTCTATTGAGATCACCAGCATACACAAGAAAATCTATTTTTTATCCTCGGCAGTCATTAGCGGACATCTCTCCGGCGACGACTCACTCCAAACAATATGCAGCAAATGCACTTTCATTTTATTATAACGTTATTTTAGCGGGTGAAATTAACGGCTTATGTACGTACATACCTACGTAGGTATTAAAGTATTATATCAGGACTGCCGCTTTCTATTCGGCGCGTGAGCCCGCGCCGTCTGATTAAAGAACAATTAGACTTTACAGTGAGTTATTTTCACGCGGGAAAACTGCTGGTGTGAAAAGGTGGAACGCACTACACCCCCGATGCACGCGTCCGAAAATATCGTCTAATTTTAGAGACTAAACGTGGTGAGTTGACTTTTGGTTTACAAAGAGTTGACTTACCAGAATCTAGCGCTCGCATGTTACAGCGTTCGTTGGCGAATGTGTTTATTTCACTGAAATTATTTTTGTTCGCGTGGTCGCTCGCCGCTCGCGCAGATTCCGGTCGTGTGGCGCCCGCCCGGGCGGTGTGCCGACTGGCGAGCCGAGGGCCCGTCGCGCGACCCGATGCGCGCGCGCCGTGCCAAAGCACAGTGCTTGCGCTTCTTGCATTGGACACTTGGACCAACTTTGGTTGCAAGTATTCCAAACGGTGCTTGTGGTCAAGTCCAAGAAGAAATCTAAAAAATGATTAAATTATTAATAAATCAAATCAACATAGTGATTGATGTAAGTAGAGCATAAACCCAAACAATTAACCACTATCGACTTACCTTATTAGACATAATGTTTGATGTCTTTTTTTTGTGACCACCAGTGTGATTTTCCTCTGTACGTACTGCAAACTGGAATCGAACCCAAGACATGACTACCGGTTCATTCTCCAGTCGATATCGAGGCATTATTATTTTCAAACAAAACTTTTTTCGTTTGTTTATATTGGACCCAACAGTCCCCAACTGGGAATCGAACCCAAGACATGACTTCCGATTCGATTCTCCAGTCGATATCGAGGCATTATTCTCTTCAAACACAACTTTTTTCTTTTGTTTATATTGGACCCAACATAACCAATATTGGCCAAGCATTCACTCGGCAGCGTCCAACATTGGCGGCCACTTTCTGTGTCTGTAGCTGGAAAACGCGCGGCCGCGCGCTGCAACCATTCATCCATTGAATCAGTGTTAGTTCCAGTCTTGCGGCTAGGTGTTAACAGCGCATCAGACGGTGCTGTGCTAACACCGTGATTATGTTAAATGATGTCATCGCAAACAGCCTTTTTGTGCGTCATTTTGTCACTAAGATTTTGGGTGCAGGCGTTTTAATGCTGGTTCTAGAATCTACACTTTTATAAAGTCATATTGCAAACATATCTGTATTAAAAGTATAACTTAAAAGGATGAGATTCAAAACTTTGTAATGTGACTTGTGAATGAGTAAAATATTTTGTATTTTTTTTTATTTGGAAGGTCAACATTTATGCCCGTTTTTACAAACGATGCTTGCTTAAGTAAAGCAGCAAATCGTGTCGATTGGTTTGTGTGTCACCCTGGGCGTCCACGCGCACTGTGAGACCTCATAGTAATGTTAGTGAATACGGGTGTTAACCTCCGTATGCTATTAGTTCAAATAAGTGGCTACAATATTCATTATAAGTTTCAAATCCATCTATACTCAGGCACAATACCCACGCGTTGCATTGGCATTATTAAGGTGAAAGGAGTAGGTATTTGGAATCTTTGTTGACAGTGTGTAGGCAACCTAGCAAACAGTCCTTGTCATATCCTAGGCTGTGTGTCACGTCTGGCGTGTGCATGCAAATTGGATGTTGCATATCGTCTGTGTAGTTTTAACAGGGCGTAACTCAAAAAATCTGCGTTTATGAGTTTTATTTACTCTCCTGTAAAGTCGAATTTTCATTTTTTGACTTGCGCACCAAAATCAAAAATCAAAATCAAAAATATTTATTCAGTTTAGACCACAAGTGGCACTTATGAACGTCAATAGAAAATAATAAAAAAAGAAAAAGGTAGCCCTTATGGGGCACTTTACATGTCTCCTTATCTTTTGGGCCCTACCAGCGCTTCGAGACAAACATATGGCCGTTACAACTTGAAAGACAAAGATGTGACAATGAATAATATTTATTTAGTAAGTACTCCAAGCCTGAAAGATGGATAGAAAAAAATGTTCTCGATCCCAAAAAACTACTGCTGCTTTTACCATTACGCGATAAAACAAGATCTCGAAATTAAACCCATTGTTTGTCTTATATACAGGTATTCTACCTTTGTAACTAAAATCTGAATGTTAATTTGTTACATTTTTAAATCCGTGATTGAAAATGAGCCTGCGGGAATATATTGGAGCCGGATATGTAAAAAGTTATCAACCGATATTATAACTGTAACAGACAGCACTAAGAAAGTAGAGAATATTATTTAATTTACAAACGCAGACAGATAAAATAATATGAGCGTTAAAAATTGGCAAGTTGTTAGTTCTGATACGACTAGTTCCTCAAAAGTCAATGGACATTTTAAAATTAATGTTTGTGCGTTTGTTCCGATTTTTGTCTGTGAAATAAATAATCAGGATGTTAAGTTATTAAATGGTTAGACAGTGATTGTTTACAGGTAGGTAATTAGGTACATACAATCGGCAGAACATTAGAAAAATAGAATTTGTTACCACTGCATAGATGTTAGTATGTATCTACCGTCAACGTTTCATGCAAGATTGATTCACAAAAACAAGAAAGAAATCAAAAATAAAACAACATGATATGTTACAGAATCGGAATGTCTATTCTAAAACATAACTACAAAATAATTAACTAAAAATCAACTACTTATAATAAAGGAAATTAACTAATTAAGAAAATATCAAATAAATAACTAACATAAGTTTTGCGGCTTTGGTGGTACACTATAGGACGACAATGTTATTTGCGAGTTCCTTCGTATTGCAAATAAAAAATACTGTAACTGATTTAACTAAATGCAACTAAATACTTAATTAAACTAAATGGAAACACATTTTATAAAGGGCAACACTAAGGCAGTGTACGAGCTTATTATTTTCAAAGCAAGTGAGTGATTCATTCGAGATATACATTATGTTTACAAATTATGTTCACCAAATAATTTATATTTTTGCCATATGTAGCAAATAGTCTGTCTAAGTATATTAAATTGTTTTAGACCCATTTGTGCCAATTTATTATTCTCTTCGCAAGAAAATTAAATAGCTTCTAATTCAAATGCTAGTATGAAATGAATTATTATAAGATCATTTTATTTATTAAATATTTTGTGTAATTTTCAGGCCATATCTTGTCAGGTACTGGAGTCTGGTTCTTAGTTCTTTTTATTGCAGTATTTCGAGGCCTATAAAACTGTTTTCTTTAAATACGACGTTTATATGTGTAAAAGTTTAAAAAATTATGTATAAGTACTAAATATTAAGTCTCACTATTGCTAACCATATTTGAAAGAGAGAAATTGGAATTTATTAAATCGTTTATTTTTCCTGTAAATTAGTTTAACATTCATAAAATATGTTACAAGATTCATCAGAAATCACTCTCGTGGCGAAGGCTTCCGTAAATTATTATATTCGTATCCACAGTAATTTCTTATTCTAACTAACCTACAGTAGTTTTGTCTCGCTCAAATGTAAGGATTTGAGGAAGACAGCAATAATCGTCTAGGTAGTTGTCCTCGAAACTGATTAATCTAATTAAGTGTACAAGCTGACTTCAATAAATGCAGGTTGGCGACACTATGTGTCATTGCGCACTATTATTCCATACTCAAGAAATGGTTCAGAAACTTTTTATTAATTTATCAACCTGGATGAATTTGTGCCAGCATATTTGAGAAAACTGGAATTATTAGAAAATAGGGATACATCTATTTACACACTTATAAGTTATAATAATATCAAGGGTATACATCTCGCAGTATAAGGGCAGGTATATAATACAGTCAGGTCATTTGCTTATCCTGACGAGAGGCGAAAGTTTATACAGATGGATACACAGCTTATATTACATGTTTTTTTTTTCGTTTTCAACCAAATTAGCTACATCTATTTTTATGATAAGCTCCTTATTTTTTTTTGGTCTTTCTATCGGACGAAACAAAAAGACGAAAAAAGAGTTTTCATAATGTACACACAACGCTCTGTATGGATTTATTAATCTTTCAGAATTTATACGTACCAGTTCAATTTATTATCACTAAGTAAGTATACTGTTTTAACACAATCATCATCGATATACACTAACATCTAACGTAGCTTTTAAATATACATTTATATTTTACATTGACAATTTTATATCAATTCAGCAGTCAAGTTATAAAAATATCTTCATTATATTTACTGTCGGCAAGTAATATCATGAGGTTTGAAAATCTGCAATTCAATATGCAAAAAGCAGTTTTATACATAAGAGAGAAGAATCATATTGAATTTTATTTTCAGTCCTCTTACTACTAAATATTTTACAGCAATTCATAAAAGAGCTAGTATTCAGTAAGTGTCTAAGTGACAAATAATGGTCATAGACTTATAGATGACCCACCAAACTCAATGACAGGGGGGCGCTACCATCGTTCAACTATATGCTTTCCAACATAGCAAAAATCGGAACCAGCGATCCGGTATTGACGGTGGCGCCCCACTGTCAATGTCATGCATAGGACAGTTCAGTATTTTGGAACTATATCTCATTTAACGACGGCAGCCCTTTTGTAACGTCATTTGATACATTGACATTGGCAGACATATTGTGTGTTATGTCAGTTGGTGTCATCATTTAAAACTTATTGATACTAGGCTTATAACATGCAATTTTAAACACCTAATTTGACATCAATTCAAATTCAAAATTTAAAGTATCCAAATCATAGAATCGCACTACTGGAAATTTAAAAACAAAGATGTATCTAGTTACATATTTTGCTGCGTATTTCTTATCACCAACATAGCAGCCCCACAAGATTTAGGCTTAGGAATCAGTCACTGTACTGCATTTACAATATACAGTTATTATAAATACTAATTCGTCTAGAGGTTACCACAAAAGTTTGATCTTTTATCACTATTGGAGTATGTTTTTCGTGAGGTTTGTCAATTTGCAAGTGACAATATTATGTGCTAGGTCCGTATTGTTATCACTCAAAACGATTTAATCTCGAACATAGATTTTGTATGTCGTTTAAATATACAGACCGTAGATATCAATTTATTAAAATTTTATTAAGCTATTTGATTAATTTCATTGTAAATATAAATAATTATTACTAACTTTACAACAAACTGGTATAATAGCTTATGTCATTTAAATAAAAAAATCGCAAAAACTGTCACAAGTTTCAAGCCATCAAACACATTTAATTGTAACTTTACAAATCAACAAACCCATTTTGTACTAGCCGCGCACAATATCACCATTTTAACATCACTAGTTTGTTTTGTCACTCACTAGTCACACCCGGCGCTCACTAGTCGATCTCGTCGCTCACTAGTCACACCCGTCGCGCACTAGTCGATCTCGTCGCGCACTACTTCTTAGTGGCAGCGGGCTCTTTGGCCGGCAATCATTTGTTGGGCGTGGTCAGACCGAGTGCGGCTGATAGTAGGCGGACGACGTTCTTTTGTTCAGCAGCGTCGTTTTCTGAAAAACATAATGGAAGTTTATAATATAACGAGGCATTTTGACGTTACCTACTATAGGAATACGTAAATGTTATAACATTAACGTATCTCGTGATAAAAAGGTGCCCGCTCAGAATTAATCAAAATATGCGTGTACGCGTGCCTCGACACTGGTTTTCAGCGGGTGCTTCTGTGCCTCACCAGCCAACCACCGGTTTAAACCACTGGTGAAACGGTTCAATAACCCAAGAATGTAACAATAAGCTAAAGCCTGCTCCGTGAGCACGTAGAATCCCGTCCAATGACCCTAAGCTGCCCATCCTTATCGCTCGCGCGTAATTATTATTGCTGTCGCGACTGTGCGACGCGCGCCCGCAGTGAGTGTGCGAACGCGACAGCAACATAATGACGCGCGAGCGATAAGGATGGGTAGCTTGGGGTCATTGGACGGGATTCTACGTGCTCACGGACCAGGCTGTAGGCATCCGCTAAGAAAGGATTTTAATCAAATCTACCTCCAAGGGGATAAAATAGGGGATGAAAGTTTGTATGAATCTTAACGCGAGCGAAGCCGCGGGCAAAAGCTAGTTAGAAATAAAAGCGGCACTGACCGTCAGCACCAGTGACGTGTTTCTCCAGGTTGAGCTTTTCCTGGGCGACCTGGTAGATGCCCTCCTCGATGGTGCCAGCGCTCAGCAGTCGGTAGATCGTCACCGGCCGCGTCTGCCCCATCCTGTGGCACCTGCAAGCGGAATTAACTATTAGATGTGTTTCATATTATGTATGTTAATAGCGCCATGCCACTCCAGGCACAGATCCCTAGATTAGAAGCGCCAAAAGAAAAGAAGGGGGCGCTTTGTGAAACGCCCAGTTGGTTTTTTGAACACATCTACTCGCAAATCAATATCTAGAGCATAGTAACTTTTTTTAGGATTAAAAATTTTATCGTGGCGCCCCCTCCGTTATGATATAATTTTGGCCCAGTTGGAAAAACTGCCGCAGTTTACGTTTGACTTGTCATATTGACGTTTCTTGGGCGAGGTGGATAGTGAGTCGCTTTATCCACGGTGATGGGTATTAAAATAACTTGGTTGGCTTTTCTTTTTCTATAACATTTTTAATAGATTTATAAGGATGTAATGAAGTGTTCTTCAGTCTATCTCCTCCTCTGGTTGACTACGCTCTTCAAAGTCACATATTCGTTCGTTCGTTTCAGCCAAGTGACGTCCACTGGTGGACAAAGGCCTCTCCCCGATTGATTTCCATAACGACCGGTCCTGCGACTTCCGCATCTAGGTATATACTTTGGGGACTCGCCCACACTACGTCTTCCAGTCCGTGGTCGCCACTCGAGAACTTTTCTGCCCCAACAGCCATAAGCTCTACAAGCTTCTCCTTTTGTTTACTATTATTATTAGGCTCCTTTTATTGACTACCCTCTTTCTCCTTCTGTTGACTACCCTCTATCTCCTTCTGTTGACTACCCTCTTTCTCATTATATTGACTACCCTCTTTCTCCTTCTGTTGACTACCCTCTTTCTCCTTTAGTCGACTACCCTCTTTCTCCTTTTATTGACTACTCTCTTTCTCCTTTTGTCGACTACCCTCTTTCTCCTTTTGTCGACTACCCTCTTTCTCCTTTTGTTGACTACCCTCTTCTTTGGTGACTACCCTTTTTCTAAGTTCACCAAGAGCACCCCCAACTCACCTGTCCTCGGCCTGCTTGTCGTTGTACGGGTTGAAGTCGATGTCGTGGATGATGACGGTGTCGGCCGCTGTTAGGTTGATGCCGAGCCCGCCCGCTCGCGTTGATAGAAGGAACACGAAGATGTCTTCCGAGTTGTACTGGTCTATTAAGTCTTGTCTGGAAGTAAATTAATAAAATAAATGAGAAAAAGATGATATCTCATTCTTAAATAAGCTTAACTTTTTATATGGCTTTGTGGAATATATTACCATAATCATTTGACCCTTATTCAATCAGCAAAAGTCCGTAAAGCAATGAGCTGTGCCCAATAGTGATAATACCTTTGTAGTTATCTGTTTCCCGCTTTGCAATAAGGGGAAATCGATATTATATTTAAAACTCATTCTTCTGTTTAAATAGTTGCGGGTTCTAAGACAGTAACGAAGCAACCTATCCCCCGGAACTATTCAACCTTCACAGGCTTTCTGTCGAAGAACCGATAACAGCTTGGGTAAATGAATTCCTTCTGTGGAGATCGTGACTCTGCAAGTGATGATTTTGAATCATCGCCGCGTTACAGAAATTCCGCAACTCGAATGCAAGACAGAATACCCAGTGAAAATATGCCATAACAGTGTAAAATGTCATCAAAATCCATCTATAGAAAGTGTCATCAGTCAATCAGTACTTTTACACATGTAACAAACATACATCCATCTTCACAAAATGTTCACAGTTCACACTTATGTCAACTCAATAGTATAAATATAGATAAATACCGTTCCGTAACTGCCGTCTGTCCGTCCAGCCTTAGGTACCGGTGTCCACGCGCCGCGAGGTAGGGCTCCAAGATGTCCAGCATCATGACAAACTGGCTAAACACCAGCACCCGGTGACCGTTGGCTTTCAGGCGAGGCAGCATTTCATCAAGTTTCTCGAACTTGCCAGAGTCTAGAATTAGGTGTTCGGGGACGCCGAAGGTACGTATACACTGGAAGATCAGAAAGGTTAAATGAGTTTTGCGCCAAATCATCGGTTGCAGACGAATAAGTATTGGGACGAGGGGTGCAGTTATGTAGATTCAACTTAGAGAAAGAGGTCAATCATCGAATTGAACTTGACTGGGAAGATTTCGAGATCTTGTGAACAGAACAGGTTTTTGACCAGTGCCAATGAGGGCTATCGTTTTAGCGCTCACCAGTTAGCGCCACTGTAGAGTAAGGTCCTGTCACTTGCTAGTAGCGAAGACAGTGGCACCAACTGGTGAGCGCTAAAGTGGTAGGAGGACTATCGCATTTGCACTCATCAAGATGGCGCCACTGTAGAGTAAGGTCCTGTCAATCGCCAGGGGTGCCAACTGTTAAGTATAAAAACGATAGCCCTCATTGCTAATTATCAAATACGGCTGAGACCTGGTGTCTTACTAGCCGTGGGTCTCAAAAGAAAGAAAACTCCAGCCACCCTAAGGGCTATGGATCGTGATATTATCAGGGTTTTCTTTGCTTGATAGAATCAGTAATGAGGAGATCCGTAGGAGAACAACAGTAATTGACATATCTGTAACGAGCAGGATCGGTTTCCTTGGAAATCCTGAGGAAGACTTTGTGCAACAGTGGACAGCGCAGGATCAGATGTTATGGAAATACTTGGAGGTAAAAGGTCTTTGTCCAACAATGGGCTTTTGGCTGAAAAGGTCATAAAGTCCGGTCGCCGAGCAGATAGAATTTCGTCCAATGACCCCAAGCTACCCATCCTCATTGCTCGCGCATCGCACAGTCGCGACAGCAAAATAATCACGCGCGAGCGATAAGGATGGGTAGCCATAGGTCAATGGACGAAATTCTATCTTCTCGCCGACCGCACTTTAGACCATTCCGGTGAAAACATCGTAGAAACCACTAACCGCATGCTGTCGCGTGAGCTGATGTATCTGGAAGTCGGACAGGCACAGCAGGTCTTCATACGCGTACTGCTCATTAGTCTCTTTGTAGCCGGAGTCTCGTGCTAGTCTTGCCGCTATAAGCCGCAGTTGTTCTGGCTTGTAGTGGTAGCGCAGGAGCAGAGGGTGGTTGGCTAACTTCCGCATGTCCATCATCATGGACATACCGCTGTGTTCTGTGGTGGCGTGGATCTGTTGGTTTTGAAAGAATTTTGTTTCTATAAGAACAGCTATGGGAACTAATGCCGGCTCTAATCGAAACTACAGAAATTACAGTGGTATAGTCCGGTCGCCGAGCACGTAGAATTTCGTCCAATGACCCCAAGCTACCCATCCTTATCGCTCGCGCGTAATTATATTTCTGTCGCGACTGTGCGACCCGCGCCCGCAGTGAGTGTGCGAGCGCGACAGCAATACAATTATGCGCGAGCGATAAGGATGGGTAGCTTGGGGTCATTGGACGAAATTCTACGTGCTCGGCGACCGGGTTTTAGAAGATTTAACTGTAGTTTGCATCTACAGTTTGTCATCCAATCAAACCCAACCAATGAAGGCTGAGTATTTTCTGACACTGTCTTGGAACCCGCAACGAATTGAATCGAAAAAATATAGTAATTCGAAATCGACTTCCCTCCATCATAAAGCGCGAGAAAAATAACAGGTAGTGTATGACTTTCAAGTGTAATGGCGCATTCACACATGCCGCACACTGGCAAGGCATTTTGAAAGCCGGCGGCATGTGTGGACACGCCATATGAAGTAAAGGTAAATTTTCGTCATCAGCGGAAAATTAAATAATTTATATTAGTCTTGAGACACTACTCTTTCAATTCTTCTAAATAAATAAAAAGGCTGACTCACCGTCCCATCATTAGCCGAGAAACCAGCGATCAGATCTTTGTACAACGCCTCTTGCTTCCTCGACATAGGGCACAGTTCCGTGTGATTTGTCTTCTGAGGCAGGTCTTGTAAGACGTCCCTCTTTAACCTCCTAAGTACAAACGGCTTCATGATCCGTTTCGCTTGCGTTATTTGGCTCTGTTCGAATGCTGGCACGTCATCCTCTTTATTGCCTTCTGCTTTCTTTGTGGTTTTCGCTTTCTGTGAAGGAAAATACACCGTAATTAAATAGTGGGAAGGCTGTTTTTACGATGCCAGCTAGTTTGGCTCATAACTGAGGCACTATGTTTTGACTCTGTCTCTTTCACTCATTCTGTAAACGACAGATAGCATGAGCGATTGCCCTAATCAATCCTTACGTTACTATTTCCATATTTACAACTATCAATATTGCACACATAGATACTACATCGATGAAGCTGAGATGGAAATATTGATGTATGACAACCTATTATTGGCCATATTCATCATCATCAACAACCCTTTACAATCCACTGCTGGACTATGAGCCTCCTCCACTATAATGGAGGGTTTTACCATAATCCATACGCTTAGCAGGCGGGTTGGAGATCGCAGTTTAAAAGATTGATGTTTTTCAGAGAGCGCTGCTGCCCGTTCTCTGATGTGTAGTCCCTAAGTCGCCTCTTACGACACCCGCGGGAAGAGTAATGTAGTCTACTCTGCCGTCACCACACGGCAAATTGGCCATATTAAGAGTTATTTAAGCATCGACTAACCAGTGATAAATTAATAACTACATTATTTTGAACTTACCTTCGCTTAGATAAAACAACGATAAAATTTAACTTTCTCGATCGATTAAGGGTTGACAGTAGTGGAACTCACCGAATTCTTCTGGAACAAGTTTTTAAGGTCCTGGGTCTTTCCGGAAAACATGTGTGGCATCACAAAGCAGAGGAGCGACATCAGTTCTAGCAAGTTGTTCTGAAGCGGCGTTCCCGTCAGCAGGAGGCGGTGTTTTGACTGGATAGATAGATACAAAAACTTTAATCAAAAATGGAAAACTGAAATTCGATAAGTCCTTCGACCTCTGAAAGTTGATCTTGTCAAATAGAAAAGATCGTAACTATTTTTATAGCTGACAACTATTCCACGTTAGCTCTAAAAAAAAATTACGTATCGATATACCTACAATGTACCATCTGTTTCTATTTGTATATCGTAATGATTCGTAATGTAACATTGCGAAGTGAATAAATGATATCACAGAATAATAATAAGTACTACGTACAGAAGTTTTACTTCGCGAAGGTATTTAAAAAAATGTATGCTCAATGTCATTAACAATATGGTGTAATTTAGCCTGTCTCAAGAGTCAAGCACCATTTTGTTGACAAATGTCAGTGATCGGCACTGCGCCGAAGCTATAGGGCTGACTTCGGTAAAATGATGTGACGTGAGGTGCCAAACTGCGGAAAATGGCGGAGGAAATACATGATTTAACATGAATTATCATGAATAATATTAACTACTTATTTACCTCTCAGTGTCTTGAGGCAACTTAAAAAAGTACATTCTGTGTTTTTATTATTATTTAGGCAGTTAAATACTGCACAGTATTTAGTACACCATTTTCTTTATTTTCTTCCAACATACACAAGAATACGCGTGCGTGAGTCAATGTTCGCTCGTATGGGAGGCCTTGTCGAATAGTATCCTGTAGGTGGGCCATCGTGCGTGTTTTGTTTTCGATGTAAACTCGCGGAGATGAACAGGCCTGATGATATGATTATGATCCGTTTCTTTCGGCACGTTATTTTTATTTTTCGGTTGTTATTTTTTAACGACGCAGCTCGAAAAGCGAACGGTAAGCAACAGTCATACGCTTCCTTGGAGGAACACCAGCTGAATTTATTTATACATCTCTATCTATATGCACCTTTAAACTAAGTACTTACTTTGATCTTGAGCAGGTTATCGTACCGCAGCGTGGACATATTCTTGAGCATGTGAGCTTCGTCATACACCACGTAGTGCATGGGTGTTATGCGGAACATTTTGCGCTCCTCGGGACAACTGCTTACCATCGTGTACCTGTGAAGATAATAATGAATTATTATCATCATATCAAGATGTCCCCTTAAAGAAGCCCAAGTTAACAGTAAGACAACCCAGGACCGAGCCGCCTGGAGACACATGACGCGGAGGGCCGACCCCAAATAAAATGGGAATGGGCCAGGCAAAGTAGTAGTATCATAAGATGTCCCCTGTTGAATAAGCATCCCCCAGTGATTTCCAGTTCGGTCTGGAAGCAGCCAGCGCTAGTGTGCAACCTTTATAAGTCATCTGTCCGTCTTGTGAGTGGACGTCTTACGCTTAGCTTGCTTGATGCCCCAGCGCATACGGCCAGGTCGTAATCTACTTGTTTACATTCGTTCCAAAGGCCTCCCCCAAGGATTTCCACAACGACCGGTCCTGCGCCGCCCGCATCCAGGCACCTCCCGTGACCTTCACCAGATCGTCGGTCCACCTAGTGGAGGCCTGCCCACACTACGTCTTTCGGCCCGTGGTCACCACTCTAGAACTTTTCTGCTCCAGCGGTCATCAGCTCTGCAAGCTATGTGCCCCGCCTACTGCCGCTTGATTTTGGCAATTCTGCGAGCTATGTCGGTCACTTTGGTTCTCGTGCGGTTTTCTTCATTTCTGATTCGATCACGCAGGGAAACTCTGAGCAGAGCACGCTCTATCGCCCTTTGGGTTACTTTGGGCCTTCTTGTTTCATCATCATCATCATCATTTCAGCCATATGACGTCCACTGCTGAACATAGGCCTCCCCCAATGCTTTCCATGTTGATCGATTGGCAGCGGTCTGCGTCCAGCGCTTCCCTGCTACCTTTACGATGTCGTCGGTCCACCTTGTAGGTGGACGTCCCACGCTGCGTTTTCCGGTACGCGGCCTCCATTCCAGAACCTTGCTGCCCCATCGGCCGTCAGTTCTGCGTACTATGTGCCCTGCCCATTGCCACTTCAGCTTGCTAATCCGTCGGGCTATGTCAGCGACTTTGGTTCGTTTACGGATCTCCTCATTTCTGATTCGATCTCGCAAAGAAACACCAAGCATAGCCCTCTCTCTCTGCCTCCATAGCACGCTGTGCAACTTTATATTATACAAATGCTTCTTGTTTATATTATAGAAATGAAAAGCCAGCAGATCTTACGTGGTCAAAACGACGTCATAGTTGTCCAATCCCCTCGCGTATTCGATCCTAAGCTGCCTCCGCTCCTCCGGCGGCCCGTAGTACTTGCTGACTCTCAGCGAGGGACACCAACGGGATAATTCACCGCTCCAGTTGTCTGCAGGACAGAATTGAAAATATTAATCGTGTATTTTTTTTAAAACTGTCTATAGGACAGTCGTCTGGAAGAGATCGCTTCATAGCGCATCAAGACCGCCTATATTTAGCCGTCCCGTCCCTTTTGTGTATGTCTTGTTTTTTTGTTTTGTGTGGTGCACAATAAAGTGCTATCTATTTGTAGAGTGAGTTTTTAAAGCATGCGTGGTCAGATTATTATTTAAAGGAGTTGAATTAGATTACATTACATATTAAAAATATTATCCTAAGTAAGAGTTTTAATATTGATAAAAGAACGCACCAAACTAACTTTTGCCTGCAGATTAGCCTAGTTTTTTGGGTCTCAAACTATCTCTGTACCAAATTTAATTTAAATGGTTCAGTGTTTTAAAGTTTTAATGTAAATAGATACTATACAGACGGAGTTACTTTCACACTTATTATATTACAGCACTGGCCCATTTATTGTCCTGTAGCAGTGGAAGCGTTAAAGTAATACTTCAACGCGTATAAGCGCATTTTAAGATTATTAGTAAAAAATACATGAATTTTATATCAGTATGGTATGGTTATAGTTTTATATTGCCTCATAATTCACCAGGGTGTCCACTGCAAATGTTCGAAAAAATTCCCTGACTTTTCCCTGACTTTCCCTGACATTTTTTTCAAAATTCCCTGACCAACTATGTATACAACGTGTCCCAAAATTCAAGGATAAGCCGACGCCACAGGATGGACATAGTCATGACTACTTTAGGAAAAATAAGGAAAAAAATCTATCTCAATTATTTTTTAACTTACACAATAAATGATGAAATTCAACGAAAATTGACACACCTTATGANACTAGTCTGCACTCAATAATCAAATCAATAAATAATTAAAAAAATATATAAATAAACATAAGTTATAAGTTGCACTTTCACATCGACAATAGAAAATATATCATTTTACTGAAACAAAAAAGTACAACTATTAAAACAAAAAGAAGTAATCTAGTTATGACAAAAAAAATCATAACATAGATCACTCTAATCCTGAAAAAAAAACTGTATGAAAGTAATCTAATTATGAACAAAATTATGTCATAATTTAGATCAATCCACTTCATTAGATAAAAAACTAAAAAGGAGTAATATAATTATGACTAAAAACAAAGTCATAATGTAAATCACTCCAAACCTGAAAAAAAAAATGCTTCGATAGTCAAGATCAAAGGTCTTTCTAGAGCATAAATTAATTAAATCCCTCATTTTACAATCACTGACAAATTTCGGGAGACAAACAGTGTATTGGTAGACAAAATCTCAATGTTTCCCTGACTTTCCAGGTGACCCCTCTATTTCACTGACTTTCCCTGACTGCTATGAGCTTCCCTGACTTTTCCCTGACTTTCCCTGACTTTCCAGAATGTGGACACCCTGTTCACTTACCTAATGTAGAAGCGGGTACCACAACCAAATGCGTGCCCCTAGCCTGCCCGGTCTCCTTCAAGTGTGCGAGGAAGGCTATCACTTGCACTGTCTTCCCCAGCCCCATCTCGTCAGCCAGGATTCCGGAGACTCCTTGCTTGTGTAAGACGGCCAGCCAGTTCAGACCGACCAGCTGGTAAGGGGCTAGTTTTAGACTGCAACGAGAGAGTAGTATTTTAAATATGTACATCGGAATGAGGTCTATCGTTTTAGCGCTCACCAGTTAGTGCCACTGTAGAGTAAGGTCCTGTCACTTGCTAGTAGCGAAGACAGTGGCACCAACTTGTGAGCGCTAAAATGGTAGGAGGACTATCGCATTTGCACTCATCAAGATAACGCCACTGTACGAGTAAGGTCGTGTCAATCGCCAGGGATGCCAACTGTTAAGTATAAAAACGATAGCCCTCATTGGTCTAATTCTAATATTAGGTATTGAGAGACCATTTGTTAAAAAGGCTCTTACAAATAAGCATTTAAAGAGTCCTTTCTCAAATATTTGCAATAGATTTCTTGACTGTATTTTTAGGTTGGTATTAATTTATTATTTACCATAAAAATTCCACTTGCATTACACTTTCTAACAGGAAACGCACTTTTTGTGTGCCTCAGCTGATAGCATCATCATCATCTTTCCAGCCATTGCTGAACATAGGCCTCCCTCAATGATTTCCATAGCTACACGTCCATAGTACAGTGGTAAGTGGCAGTGACTCTTTTTGGGTTTGATTCTTAGGTGATACGCAATAAGATCATCAGCTGCTGCATCTATAGGGTGGTGGTACAGTCACTTGACAAGTACTGGAGTTGTGAACTTAGTAGGTAAGGCATCTCATTAGGTTAGCTACCAAGGATGTGACGTCACTATTGTCTCACCTGGGGGCCAGTATGCCGGGCTGCTTCAGGCGGCCGGCGCCTGCCGCCACGGCCGATTCCAACTGTTGCGCGAGCCCTACGCACTTCTTCATCAACCGCTGGATATTGTTCCTTGTGGTTAGCAGTTCTTGCGTAGAGTTTAGCAGCTCTGTGCTTAGCATTTTGTTGTTGTTGAATTTTTCTACCTGTAAATGAATGATAAATTGATTCTTTACCACACTGGGCACACCGCTATGCGCAAATAAAGTCGGAATGGAAGTCGGACCCACAAGAACATAACGTCGTAACGTCAAACCCTGTATGCAGGCTAATGAGCAACATAATAATACCACCGACTTTCAGTTGGCCTATAGTTGGGCCCGATATTAATTTGTATTAAGAAACGGCCGATAGAAAATCGGTGTAATGTGAGCACTTTCATACATCTCCATACTGATTAACGACCGACCCAACTATCGGCCAACTAAAATCGGTGGTCTGCGCCTAAGCTTAACATACTGTTTCGATAACACATTTTACATAATATGCAAGGGGTTTTATGAGCGATCAGTTTCATGCAAAGAATCAGCATACTCTGCATTACCAGAAAGGAACATGCTGATCAAATTTCATAACAGACGTTACGTATTTAAGCGCCCGCGCATAGTAGATTACTAATCACCACGTGTTCGTTTTTGTTATGGTGACGGCGGCTGAGTGATTAGATTTATCAAAAAAATTATTAGAAAAACATGGTCAAAACACATAAAAAAGTAGAGCATTTTGTAAACTAAATTATGTAAAACAAAGAACCGGCTAGACTTCGCAGTTTCAATTTGCAAATAAAATAGTATTGTTTTATACATGCAGGATAAATTAGATTGTCTGTAAACAGCTAACAGTCTGTATATTAATAAGTTGGAAAAAAGTTACTTACCATATCCAACCAACCCTTGAATGGTCTCTGTGATATGATGGCTTCAGCCTTCTTCTGTGAGCAACCACTGAGCAGTGATAACTCATTCATATTGCTAGTGTTGAGGAAGTCAAACACTTTCTTCTTGTCGCCCACTAGATCATCGGTTATTTCGTTGTCAGAGTCGTCACTTAAAGAGAAGGCAATACTATTAATAAGTTTCCTGGGTTAGTAGGCCTCCAGTTAGTCACTTTGACTTTAAAGTTTATTGAGGCTGATTAAAAAACGAAAAGCATGACGCGCGACGTTGCTGTTTTGTCAACATTCTCATAGTTTAGCATATACGCTGAAAACCAGCTTCTCGACATGACGTTTGTGTCATGTCGCGATTTTGCTGAGCGGGCGCCTGTTCAGCATATTTTTAAGATAGCCATGTCTACTCTTGTCCATATTGTGCTGAATAGACTTTATATGTATAATATATATTCTAATTTAGCTGCTAGCAGACATACACAAAGCATATGCTTCATCTAAGTTAGAGTCAAGAGTTAATAAAAATTACGATTTAAAAAAATTGTAAGCATTACCTGTCATAGACCCTGTCGTCCTTTCCTTTTCTGACACCATAATCCTCATCCTCACTGCCACTGCTGCCCCTTCTCACCCTTACACTCTTAGCAACATAAGGTTTCCGAGCCACCATACCCCCATTCCCACTTTGAGTCGAAGGACCCCCACTTGTGACTCGAATAATTCCCATATTTCCGTTAGCAGGGCGAGGATTGTTTGAAACACTCGGTCTGCTTGCAGCGAAGAAGGACGAGGTACTCTTGTCATCGCTTTCAGGATCGACTTTGAGTAGATCATCCCTGGAACGTTCCTCGTTCCAACCATGTTTTACGAGTGTATTCTTTACAAGCTGAAAAAAATATTAATTTAAATAATGTCTTTTTATTTTAATTTAGAATTCAGTTGTCTTTTTTAAGGTTTAATTGGCCTATTTATGGAAATGGACTTCTTCAGTGTAAGACTTCAAATTAATTGAGGAAGAGACTGTTAGTACTGTTACTCAATAAACCTTGACGAAAAACTTACTACTGGTGGGAGATCAGGAAACATTTCCAGCATGTTTCTAAACCGCCTCTCTTTGACGGCAGTAGTAAGTTCCATGACGGCTGGCTTCTTCACTGGAGTTGGTGCATCGTCGGAATCGGAATCCTGGATCCTGATACGCTTGTAGACCACAGGAGGGTTCCTCACAACGTTGGGAGCTGGCATTCTGATGTGTTGCTCTAAAAAGTTGTTTTTCTTTTATAAATATTGAAAGTGCTTCCATTAGGCCGCTTTCCGATTTGTCGGCGAGGCAGCGGCATGTCATCTACACGCTCGGCATATGCGGTATCAAAAGCTTACCGAGCGCCTGTATTTCAATAGAGCGTTCTTGATTGGCGCGGCACAGACTCAATCAGGAACGCTCCATTGAAATACACATAAAGGCTTTGAAATACAAATACGCTTGGTAAGCTTCATAGAGTATATTTTAGTAAGCTGCTGATGTCGTGCTGTTGCCGCACCGGCAAGTCAGAAAACGGCCTTAGGAGAGCAGCAGGCAACAACTAGCTCGGCCTAGCCCTACAATTCTGACAACTATTTTAACAAGACTATATAACAATTGTAAAAATACCTAAAACTGTGTGTTTAAAATAAATCTTTTTTATTTTTATTTACGTATCTTTGGCAATAAAGGGAGCATCTTCAATCATGTAATGTGTGTGTCAAGCTATATTATACTAAAATAATATTTCAATAAGTAAATTGAGTTGATTGACACCACTAATCAATCAATTGGCACAATTTTTATGAGCTCTCAAAACATTATTCCCTCACATTCTTTGCTAATAGGAACTGTGATCAATACAACTGTTTATTGATTTTTACCAATTCAAGTCTAGAAAAATACCATGATTTTGGGTCTGTAAGATTGCACAGAAAAATGGTTTTAGGCTCAAACCAAGCTAGCTTTATGTGGTATTCTAGTTGCTAATTTGACTTCAAGTTTTTTCTATACATATTTGCTTTAGAGGGTTCATATATTATGGGATATACATGCAACTATACCGACTGGTTTTTATGTAAAAATCCATATATGTAGGGCATACTATAAGTTTTGGTGAGAAAATATTGGGGCAAACATTGGAAAAAAAACTTTTTTCTATAGCAAAATATAAAATCCTGTAAAGGCTGTGTAGTGCTGCTGTAGCTTATTCGAAGTTCATAATTTAAAACTCTAAACATTAAGCGGCGTGAGAAATGAAAAGAATTAATGAACATAATACCACACGAAAAAACCACATGAACACAAAAAATAGCCTTGGTCATTTTATAGGGTCTGAACCCCTCGTGGTGCAAGAGTTCGTCAACAGAACGTATGATAATTAAATGCAGTGAGTATAATCATGGTACTTACGGGAATTCGAAGACGATGCCACAACTCTTACGGAATCGCTAGACCCCGTCTCATTCGGCTTTCTTTGAAACCTATACTGCCTCAAATAACTTATCATACTAGGGCTATTACCGTCCGACATCTTGGCAAAGAAACTATGAATATGTTAAGAGTTGATATCCAAGACAGAGAAAGTTCTTTGATAATTATTGGAAAAGTTTTACGTGAAAAAATACCACTCTACGAGAGCAATGCGCGAGAAGTCAACACCACGGCCATTTTTATCCGCGACACTGCATGTAGTGTTGTGGAACCAATGAAATGCAGTAACAAAAATGACAGCAAGAGAATCCACCAATGAGCGTAAAGTATAATAAATTTTAGCCAATCAACACGAGGGTACCCCTTCATTGACAAATTAAAATTTCAAATCATGGGCAAAAAAAATCAAAATAGAGAAGTGGCCAATAGACTTTCCGGTTCTAATTGAATTGTATATTAGATATCTCGATTTTAAAATATTATGAATCCCAACCCAATACAAGAATTGGATTACAAGTTAAATGTAAAGGTGCAAACCGTGCAAAGCATTTTAACGGGTGTCTCGGTAGTGAGAAAGAAAATTTATTTCGTAAAATAATTTTTACAAGTTTTAGCTCTCGATTGAGCTAATCGAGCTAATATTTTCCGGTTTTTTGATGAAAGACTCTATTATTCAATGCTGCCACAATACAGAAAATATCTGTCAGATTAATAGGTGCGGCCATGTTGATCTGTAGCGAATAAAATTGAGTTAATTTGCTTATGGAATAAAAATTGACACAATATGCCCAAATGCGACCTCAAAACGAGATACATCCCCGCGACATTCGCCTGGACGTTACTGTTGGGCACAACATCCTTGTTTTTTTATTTTCCGTGAGTATACATAGTCGTTGATTGGGTACAAATTCTCATTTTTGGTTTGACAACTTTCACGGAAGATTGTAGGCTTGTTTCTATTAATATCTTGGGTCTGTACCTATGCCCTGTGCTGCTGTGTGTAGTTCTAACATATTGTGTAAAAGGTCAGAGCATGCACTTGTTATCAGCGCCTACTGTGACCATGATCTGTCCATGCCTGTTAGTATGAATGTCAATAATTATATCACAGTATTAGCCACAGTAATCAGTGCTACTGCATGTCCTGCTTCCAAATTAAATGCCATAAGTTGTGTTTTCAACATACATTTTCTTAGCACAGAGTAAAACAGTGGCCAGACTTGTATAAACAAACCAAAAGTGGTGTGTGAGGACAGTCATGACTCAGTAGCGTACTCTTTTAGATCTACAGCTTATTGTTTGCTAATTGTGGCAAAAATAATAATTCGAATGGTGGCACTGGTATTCAGTCACCAAAATTAAAGGAGCTCTAAGCAGGCTCCTTACAATAATACAGTTTTAGAGGTTTCTTTCATGTTAGTTAGTACTAGTAGTAGTAGTTAAGAACTTGTAATTAACCTTGCTATTTAAAACAGATTAATTATCCTTGCTTTTAAAACAGAGCTGATGCAGTGGTGAGAGAAGACAAACTTGATGTTTACTATTTTTTATAACCCAAATATATTTTTTCACAACTAGTACTACTGCACCTTTGTCAAATGTATTCCTATTGTAATCTAATTAGATTTTGAATGTCATCACCGATTATTGATTTTATTATTCTGTTGAATGATATTGACTATGACTAATCAGTGTAAACGGAATGCAACATGCTGAATAATGCTAGCACATGTAGAACATGCACTAGCCAGTTAGCTCGTCCTACAAAGCTAACAGAGTATGTTAAGTGTTGCAGTGCTCTTACAATCTGATGCATCATTGACCATGTTAAACAAACTTGTGAGGTGCTTGTGCCTGTTCCAAAGTCATTTTCATTGATGGAATAAAACATTTAAAAAAATTGAAAGCAGCATTTTGTTATTTTTATAATGGCTATTTGAATTATCTTTTTAACTAAAACAATAGTAAAATCATTAAATTACTTATTGCACCACCAATTTTACTTAGTCTAAGTTGCACCACCTTTCCTTGACTATAACAAATTAATGTCAAAAGTCTGTCAAACTCCATACAAAAACACCAGTTATGTTTAAAGTTAAGGTAGCGCAATTTAGGCTTAATTCATGTCTTAGTTCTAATCTCTTGAATGTAGGTATTGTGTTTGCCTTTGTCAAGCCGTGACTAATGGTTTGTGTATTGTCCACAGTTGTCAGTACTACCTACACAAGCACCCATGGGTACCTGCATACCAAGGTGTCATAACATTTTTTGTTTTGGCCAATTTTACACTGGCCACTTTCATGGACCCGGGAGTCATACCAAAAGGTGAGTTATTTTACATAATTTTTCACAAAAACAATCTAATTTATATTTTAAGGACGCATAATTTTATTATGATGATACCTACCAAGTGAAAGAAGTTCTAACTGGACCACAAGTTTTAAAATGATGATGATGTTGGGCTACTAATTTGAAGATGAAGTTCATAACTAACTCATGATCTATGATACTAATGGCATATCAGGGGCCAGGCCCTCCCTGAAAAATAACCCTAGATACGCCAATGATGATGATGCTGTTCCACTGCAGTTTGAAAAGCTGGGCCCTCATAATCTGACAAGGTTTTGTCATATAGCTCTATAGTTCAATTCAATATCACATTTTCCTTCCATTGATTTTACTATTCAGCGCCTGTCTTTTCTATGACCTAGGATGACGCATGTTAACCAACACACTACATTGAATTAAAAATTGTATTCCATTGTTTTCAAAGTTTAATCCAGGAATTAAACCCGTAACTTGTCTGCCCTTGGCGATGTTTTGCCACCGCGCCAAAGATGTCGTGGTTTATTCTCGTTGCTCACGATACCTCATTTGCCTTGCATGAGAGCTTGTAATAGGTCGGATTGAATAAACAATGGTTTTGTCCTGATAATTCGAAATTATATTTCGAGAATGAAGCTAATTTTACGTACGTAAACATTAGTAATTCGATGTGGCCCTCGGGTTAGATTTCTGCACGCAACTACTTCGCTCCGTGAAGTAATCGCGAGATCTATCACGAATGTCACTTTGTCTAGACAAAGTCTAGACTCGAGTTGTAGGTGAGGATGCAAATACAAATACAAATTAAATATAAAATCAGTTTGGTTAAGTAGTCGTTTTCGAACTCTTATGACTGGTTTCCTTGCGATAAAATTTACGTACACTGGTTGGGTTTTTATTGGCGGCCAAACTAGCTACATCGTTGATGCTGGAGGCGAGAGAACGCTATTTTTCGCATAATTATATATATTTCCAAATCTATGAAATCCATTCTTCTCTCTCCTAATAGTTACTTACTGGCATGAGCAAATAGGGATGTTCCGATACCACCTAAGTATCGATACCTACTCATTTCGATAATACTCAAATCTTTTTTCGATACTACTTAAATAAGTACTCCTAAAGTATCGATAGTTACTGATATCGATACTTTTTGGAACTTTTGTTTTGTTTTATTATTTTGAGGGTGCTATCAATGAATATACAACTATCAAAGGCACTTTCATAATGGCGGAATGGCGAGATGATTTACGGGTGGATCTCCTTCTCGCGCTTTCGGCTCGGGCTCGGCTGAAGTCGGACGAATTCGGCTGGCCCAGCGCGAGACAACGCGTCGCTCACGCCGCCACGCGACGAATACCGGTAACTCGGTAACCGATTAAGGCTGATTAGCTGACTGTTTTTGCTCTCTCAGTTCTGTATGATGCGTTCTCGGTTTTTTTTATTGTTTTCGGTTGTTTTGCTGATTCGATTCGATACCAAGTATTTTTGTTTCGATACCGATTATGTATCGCAAAATTGATTCGATACAATAAATAGTTGGTATCGAATCAAAAGTATCGAGTACCTACTCGTATTTATTAGTATCGGAATATCCCTATGAGCAAAAGCAACGGGTAGACTTGAACGCTCTGAATCGGCGGGAACCGTACGGCAGAATACAAATACATATAAGTTAAACATTATAAAAAATGTTGTGCAAGTATTGTCGCCATCTCATTAATAATGGAGTGGGGTAACACGAGTTATGTCGTGTGTTCGACCCTGCGATGCATTGCGCTATACAATGTGAATTGGTCGTGGGAAAACGGTTGCAATCGCCATATATTTATATTATAAGAAGACGATTGTTGTCACTGACTCAATAAACCTTCTTAACTTTGAACTCGTATATTCTTCTGATTAATTTCGTTGCGGGCCCAATGACAGTTTAACTTTCCCCCGGGAAAAACTTGACTTTACGTTGGGTTTTTATTGGCGGTCAAGCTGTAGACCTGGTCACACAGGAGTTGCAGCGGTAACGAGAGGTGGGAATAGTCCCTCAATACATATTATTAAGACATTGTTTTAAACTATCGTTAAGGGCATGCCATTCTTGCACCAAATTATTGCTGGCGGAGCATATTCGCACCTTGGTGATTTTCAGCCATCTTAGTAGGGGTCAATTACACTCGTTCACACCTATTTCCTAATCTTGTATTTCATGGATTAATCGTGTACATTATGGATGTCATCGTGTACATTAAGGATGTCGTCAACAAATTAATGTACTAGTTTGGGCGAGTGAGTATGTTACCTTTATCGGTATTTATCTGTTGATAATGGTTTGATGTTATAATGCAATAAGTGGGTGTAATTTTAGTTCATTAACGCTAACTCTGATAGCGAAATTGATTTTTATTTGTTACCAGCTGACCAAACAGTCGTGTGATATTTTAACCGACTTAAAAAAAGGAGGTTCTCAGTTTTAATGCAAAATATCCTCCATATTTTCGACTTATGCGTATTTTCCAAACATTTTCTTTCTATTAAACCTTTAAATCCATATTTCCGACTTTTCCTGTCTATTTTCCAAATATTTTCTTTCATTATAACGACGAATAGGTTTTCGTCGAATATTATAATATAGAACAACAAAAAAGAAATGAGTCAATTCCATCGAGGCATTCTCATATCACTTCGTCATACATAATAATTATGTATCATATCGTATTATTATTGTAGCAATTGATTTTTATTTGTATGCATAATAATTATCGTATACATGAATAAGTAATTATGTTTCTACATGGATTGCGGTCGTATGACCACGTTTATGACTATAGTCATACTTCTAGCTATAGCTAGAATATTTGCCTAGGTAGTAAGTGCCACTATAGTCTAATGCAGTGGTTCCCAAAGTTGTCTGGGCTACGAATCATTTAATACAAGTTCCCAAACTCGGGACCCACCTATAGGAAATTTCTCCCGCTGCCCAGCGGTTGGATCGGTAGGGTGG